TAGCATCTTCTGGAAGTGTTCTTTGAGTTATCTGATCTGGTTGGACAGAACAATCATTGAGTTTAGAAGATGAATTTGTTAATAGCATCTTCTGGAAGTGTTCTTTGAGTTATCTGATCTGGTTGGACAGAACAATCATTGAGTTTAGAAGATGAATTTGCCAATAGCATCTTCTGGAAGTGTTCTTTGAGTTATCTGATCTGATTGGACAGAATCAAGCATTGAGTTTAGAAGATGAATTTGCCAATAGCATCTTCTGGAAGTGTTCTTTGAGTTATCTGATCTGATTGGACAGAATCAAGCATTGAGTTTAGAAGATGAATTTGCCAATAGCATCTTCTGGAAGTGTTCTTTGAGTTATCTGATCTGATTGGACAGAATCAAGCATTGAATTTGGAAGATGAATTTGCCAATAGCATCTTCTGGAAGTGTTCTTTGAGTTATCTGATCTGGTTGGACAGAACAATCATTGAGTTTAAAAGATGAATTTGCCAATAGCATCTTCTGGAAGTGTTCTTTGAGTTATATGGTTTGGTATGAACCCAAAAAACCAATCATTGAATTTGGAAGATGAATTTGCTCATAGTAAAAATAAGGATACTCAATAGCATCTTCTGGAAGTGTTCTTTGAGTTATTTGATCTGGTAAGAACTACAGAACCAATCATTGGAATTAAAAGATGAATTGCATGATTATCTTCATTAAGAAGCTTATTTTCAAGCTTCTTCTGCTTCTTCCTTTTCAAAAATCATAGCCCAAGTTTTGCCTTTGCTTGTAATTGGGATCATTGCATAATGACTTCCTATCTTTTACTAGAAGAAGTACATCAGCAGCCTTAGTCATTTAAGCAGCACATATAAAATTTGCCAATTCTGCAATTGATGAATCTGGACCACATTTCTCCAGGGCTATTGAAGTTTCAGCCCATGAGAATCCCATTTTTGTCAAGTATAACAGTTTATTCTCCTCATCAGAATCAGAATTCAAGATTTCTCGGTATTAGAAGAACTATCGATATCTGTGAAATCATCTTGAAAGGTCACTTCATAATCAGATGAATTGTTATCAGAATCAACATGTTGCCTGAATGCAAGCTTTTCAAGAGCCTATACTATTGAGTTTTATTCTCAAGAGGTTTTGTGACATTATATCTACATCTACATTTGTCAAAGATGATATATTCTTTGATTTGAAAAAGAAAGATCTATTGGGTTTTTACAATTGAAGAAATATTCAATTCACCAATCTGAAATCAAATAACTTAACATTCATGCATCATATTTTAGGTGTTTACAAAAATAGGTGCATTTTCATTCATTTTTATTCTTGTTGAATTTTTAACAGGAATTTCAAAGATTTTAGCAAAGATTCAAATCTATCATTTGAAAGATTAGCTTTTCCAGAGAAAGTTCATAATGAGAAGAACTCATCTGAAGAAGGAAGAAGAAGTTCATAATGAGAAGAATTTGTTCAACCTTTTACCTGAATCCATCATTTGATGGATCAACTTTTCCAGAGAAAGTTCATAATGAGAAGAACTCATCTGAAGAAGGAAGAAGAAGTTCATAATGAGAAGAATTTGTTCAACCTTTTACCTGAATCCATCATTTGATGGATCAGCTTTTCCAGAGAAAGTTCATAATGAGAAGAACTCATCTGAAGAAGGAAGAAGAAGTTCATAATGAGAAGAATTTGTTCAACCTTTTACCTGAATCCATCATTTGAGGGATCAGCTTTTCCAGAGAAAGTTCATAATGAGAAGAACTCATCTGAAGAAGGAAGAAGAAGTTCATAATGAGAAGAATTTGTTCAACCTTTTACCTGAATCCATCATTTGATGGATCAGCTTTTCCAGAGAAAGTTCATAATGAGAAGAACTCATCTGAAGAAGGAAGAAGAAGTTCATAATGAGAAGAATTGTTCAACCTTTTACCTGAATCCATCATTTGATGGATCAGCTTTTCCAGAGAAAGTTCATAATGAGAAGAACTCATCTAAAGAAGGAAGAAGAAGTTCATAATGAGAAGAATTTGTTCAACCTTTTACCTGAATCCATCATTTGAGGGATCAGCTTTTCCAGAGAAAGTTCATAATGAGAAGAACTCATCTGAAGAAGGAAGAAGAAGTTCATAATAAGAAGAATTTGTTCAACCTTTTACCTGAATCCATCATTTGAGAGATTAGCTTTTCCAGAGAAAGTTCATAATGAGAAGAACTCATCTGAAGAAGGAAGAAGAAGTTCATAATGAGAAGAATTTGTTCAACCTTTTACCTGAATCCATCATTTGAGGGATCATCTTTTCCAGAGAAAGTTCATAATGAGAAGAACTCATCTGAAGAAGGAAGAAGAAGTTCATAATTAGAAGAATTTGTTCAACCTTTTACCTGAATTCATCAATTGATGGATTATCTTTTCCGGAGAAGTTCATAATGAGAAGAACTCATCTGAAGAAGAAAGAAGAAGTTCATAATAAGAAGAACTTGTTCAACTTTTTGTATAATTCTATCGCAGAAGGAGATAGATTAGCATCAGCCTTTCTAGAAAAAGTTCATAATGAGAAGAACTCATCAAGAGCTTATTCAACCTTTTGAATGACTCTATCACAGAAAGGAGGTCATCATCATCCCCAGCAGAAAGTTCATAATAAGAAGAACTTATCTGGAGAGAGAGAAGAATTTATTCAATATCTCCATTATGATCAAAGTAAAGTCAAAATGGATAAAAAATTTTAATATCTTTTCATCTTTGCCCTATTCTTGTTAACACAAGAATGAGCAAAGAGGGGCAGCTGAAGATATTAATTTTTTATCCATATTATTATTATTAATATTATTATTATATTTATTATTATTATTATTATTATTATTATTATTATTATTATTAAATATATTAAACATATATATAAATAATAATTACAGACCAATTACAACTGGACCGGCCCAGTTACAAACAAACCAGAACCGGTCCAAATCAAACCAGAAACCCTAAACATTGGGTTTCCAGTTAGGGTTTCCTAACCCTAATCTAAACCAGCCGCCTCAGCTTGCTGCCGTTGGATCTGGCAAGATCCAACGGTCCAGATGGCTCCAGAGGGAAACCCTAGGGTTTGATACCCTAGGGCCACGCGGCGCCGCCCCAGTTTCCACGCGGCTGCCGACACTTTCTCGCCGCCTCCGCCGCTGCCACGTCCCAAATGAAGACTCCAGAAGATCAACGCCAGCCGTCCATGCCATGGCTACGGGGTGAGTCACCACTGGTAGTCCGGTGACTCACCGAGACCCCATCTTCGGACTGGTCCGATGGCCACACCGGTGGTGGCTATAAAAGCCACCACCCCAACCTGAAAAAAGAAAACGAGAAGGAAGACAAAAAAAACACAGAAAGAAAAAAAAACTATTAAACCAACGATCTCAGTCAAACATCCAGCAACCAAAAACAGAAGGAAAAGGAAGGAAAGAAACTTACCGAAGAAGCCTCGACCACCGGATCTCGTCAGAACCTTCGAAATATCGAAGGTATTTTTGTATATTCGCTCCGATTAGGAGCTTTTTAAGGGAAAAGAACACCGGGACCGTCCTTAGGACGGTCCGATCTATCTATTAGGGTGAAAATAAATTTTCCCGGCCACCAAATGCGGTGGCCGGCGGTTGCATTCACGGTGGCACACAGTGGCCGACCGGTGACCGGCTTCCCTCCGATGAGGGAAGCTAGAGAGAAGGCAGAGAAATTTGTTCTCTCTCAGTTAGAGAGAGAACAGAAATGAAAAAATGAAGGCTGGCCCTTCGGGCCAGCCGGTTTTGGACCATATATAGGCCTTCCCGAACGACGTCGTTTCGGGAAGGACTATGCGCGTAATTATAGAATAGTTAAACCACGTTCGCAGTCATCCCAATTTGTAAACTTTACATTTTAGTCACTAAATCAAATTTATAATCCTTTTAATTTGGTTCTTTAATTTTAATTTTATTCATTTTAGTCCTTTATATTAAAATAATATATTTAGGATAAATAGCAGATTTAATCCCTTAATTTTAATAAATAATATTTTAATCCTTAGTTTATATTTTTAATTTATTTTATTAATATCCGAATTTTAGATAATTTTATTTTAGTCACTAAATAAATAAAATAAAAGAAATAGCATGTTTAATCCCTAATACTTTGATTAATATTGAATTAAGTTTTTAATTTTACTATAATTTAGTCATTTAATTTATAAGTTTTCATTTATTTTATTGCTTTTAAAATATATTGTTTTAGTGGTATTTTTATTGTTTTAATTTTATTTGTTTATATTTTTAATATTTTTATGTATTCATAAATATATATAATAAATCTGGAATAAATTTTTAATGTTTATTTTAATATCGAAGAAAAGGACAGTCTTAATACAACTGGATGTCCTATTCTGATATTTTTTAAACAATATTATTTAAATTAATATTTATCAATATCAAAGAAAAGAGCTGTCTTAAGGCACCTAGAAGTTCTTTTCTGATATTTTTAAATAAATAAATATTTTTTTTATATAATTTTGAAATAATAGGATTATAAATTAAATATATTTTTGAATTTTTATAATTTTAATAATAGAGACAATTTATAATTAAAAAATACCAATTTTGGGCGTTGTAGGGGTGCTAATCCTTCCCTAAACGTAACCGACCACGAATCCTTTTTTATTATTAAGAACGAATTTTTGGTTATAAAACGCAGATCAGTTCATTTTTTTTAATTGATGTTTTTTTTTAAAAACTCTTTTAAAAGAAAATTTTTTAGGTATTCGACCTACCTGATCCAAAAGGTCGATGGCGACTCACAAATTATTTTCAAAATTATTTATTCACATCAATTTCCCCGCCAAATTTAATATTTCGTGCCCGGACGAAAACCGGTTACGACACAGACAATCCGAAACTTCTGTGTTTGACAATCGAGTTCAAGAGGTCTTGAAGTTTAGTGTATGAATTCTTGCCGATCAAGAAATCGGGAAGTTTACCGAAGTTGGATCCGTTTGGCTATTACAAGTATTTGACACTCTCTTGCACACCCTGAAATTTCACAGAAATTTAATATTAGCCAGAAGAAAACTTATGTTCTACTTATTTTCATCAATCCAGAAAGCCAAGAGAGGTGTACCTGTTAGGTAACCACACCCCCAAACATATCCCTTAAGGTATGTCCACCAGCTACATTGGTTCTGCATAGATGGTGGAAACCGTGAATTAAGACTATTTTTACAATTGATCGTAACCTACTGTAACCAAAAAGGAGAAGAATGGAGTATACTTCATTCCGTATCAAGGGACACCACTTAGACGTTTTACTTTTGCAGGTTGGGGAAACAAATCCTTATGTTCATCAGAATGAAGAATGGAGGCTAGACCCCCAGCAGAGAATACAGAATGAAGAGCCTGAAGCACAATCAAATCTAACATTTAAAAGATATGAAGAACTAGAAGGAAAAAAGAGCACGCTAAATGCAAAGCCTGCTCGGCATTCTGCATTCCGTTGGCCATTAATTCATCCATAGCAACAGACCAGATCCTTTCTTTTAAAATAAAGTTGGTTAGCATGGAAGCGAAATCATAGAATACCATGAATGCCTCACCAAATTACAATATTAAAAAGTTCTATAGAACTCAAGCTACAGGAAAAAAAACAATCTGTTCTTAAACTGAGTAGTTATTAAAGAACTCGACATATTATTCTTTACACCCTCCCCAATTTTTTTTTTAAAAAAAATGAAAATCCCCACTTGTCTATTTATACGTGTCTTACCATGACCACATCAACTTCGAATGGTATAACACCATCCACCTCCCTAAGAAAAATATAAATTCCTAAAATTGGCTACAAGGATATCAAACAGCTAAAGACTCTACCTTGACATAGGAAATGTCAAATGACTTAAGAATCTAAGCCAAAAAGGATCAAAAATCAATCTTAATTAGGGCTATGCAGTGTTAAAGTCTGTTAATCAAACCTCAAAATGGATGTGCCAGCTGTTTAAACCAGACCCGAGACACAAGAAGTAAATGATATATGAAGTTTCTGAAATTACTAGCTAATTGAATGAGAAGGGATCCATAAGTGAGCTGGCAACAAGGGAAACTACATCGTTTTCCAACAACGAAAGTCTCTCTCTTTAGCTTTAAGTTCTTCAAACCCAGCTTCAGACCGTCTCAACTCTCAAACCAATCCCAGCTACACTCCAAAAACTCAAAACCCACATCAAAACTCCCTTCATCGTTTCCTTTTTCTCCCTTGTTTTTTCACTCCCCTGTAAATTACAGTCAACTTTACCAACCAAGGATAAAAAAGAAGCTCTCTTTTTTCTGTCTCAGAGAGCTTGAAAAGCTTTACAAGAGAGATAAAACCTAAAAGTGAGGATGAGAGAGGAAACTTTTTTTAATGGAAATGATTGGTATTGTTGGCCAGAAATTTCAGTTATGATTTTGAAGTCGACGATGGATTCTTCGGGCCTAGGCTTGGAAAACTCGCGTATGTTCCCTTTTGTTAAGCCTGTCAGGTCCGTAGCCTAAACTACAGCATTTTTCAGAGAAGAAGCAATTAGGGGTTCGAGATTGCCATTTTTGGCGTGCTGGATGGTTTGGGAGCGCTTAACGACCTCTGTAGCGATTAAGGCGAGTTCATTCACGATTCTCCCTAGCTGATTCAATGAACTCATGGCGCGTTTAATTCAAAGCATCATCTATTCCTCCCCCCCCCCCCCACCCCCCAAAAAAAAAGGTAATTGAACTCGAAGTTAAACAGCCATATAGAAATAGAAGGAAAGTTTGAAGAAAGCGAGAGGTTTAAAACGAGAACTAGAAGCAGCAACTTGTATCCTAAAAACCAATGTTTCAACTTTCAACCGAATTCAAGGCAACGTGGTTTTTGTCTTGCCCATGAAAATTGCAAAGCAAGCAACGTGGAGCCCTAATATTTATTTCCCGTCTTCTTGGGCCTGCTTTAGCCCAAATCCCGAATGGAGAAGCCGTTATGTCGGACTTCGTTGGTTTATCTATAATATATTCCAGCTCAGTTGATAGAACACAAGGTTCTTAATCTTGAGATTGTGGGATTGAGTCCCATGGAGGGTATTTCATAATTTGGAGGTCTCCTACGGAATCTGCTCTCAACCTAGTATTGGGGTTAGCCTACTATCTTACCTCCCCTTATCCCATTACATATGGGAACAAGGGACAACCATATTTATATTCCTCACATGATCAATCTTAAAATACAAAACTCGATAAATACAGTTTCATTTATCTATAATATTTTCCATAATAAGATCAATAATTTTTAATTGAAGTTTTTTGAATTTGAGTATCGAAGACTATAGTTTAATCTAATAAAATATAATTAAATGCAAAACTCAATGAATAAAATTTCATTTATCTATGAACATATGATGCCATTTAAGTTACTTCTGGTAGAGTTAAGAGAGACAAAACAGTGGCTTAGATAATACTGTTTCATACTGAAATTTATAAGTGTGTATCCCCGGAATGTGATTTTGTTCCATATACCCTCGAAAGAATAATAACCACTTGGCCCCTATTCCATGTTCTGTTTATGAAATGCAATGCAAATCATGCACCAATCTATTACCTATTGTCTTTATTTTATTATTTGGCATCTAGAGGGAAAAGAGGTGGCCAACATGCATGACAACACACTTGTTTTATTTTAGGTGCCAAATTTGGTGCATTTTGCTGAGCAAACCAATCACTGAAAACGACAGGCAACAGAAAGTAGGATGGCTTTTACAATTCAGAATCAAACATTTTATTTGTCGAGCAAATTCATAGTCAGAGTTAAAAAAAAAGAAAGAGGAAATATGCTCACCACCTCAGCCATTTCAGCATCAACCTCAAATGAATTTGGTCATCCTTGACATCATATAAATCGGCCCCATCACCCACTACTGGGATAGTGCATAACGAGTCTGTTTTTATATTCATACTACTGGTCTAGGTATTGGTTTTTATGATGGCACTATGATTCTTTTTAATGTTTTCTCGTGTATTTTCTTTTCTGGTCTCTGTGTTTCAGCCTGTTCTCATTGATTCTGTCGTTAATATTGACGGGGTTGTCTTGCTTTCATCGTAATCCAAGTGGAATATGCTATCATTTTCAGAACAAAGAGAGAACACCATCCTTTTCTATATATTACTAAGCTCTTAGTCTTTGCTCTTCCACAGCTCTCTTGGATGGGTTCATTCACGAAGATGAACACTGTTGGGAGGGACACTGAAGCTAAATATGAATGCTTACTTTTCGGTATGTTATCATTGTATACCGATTTATATCTGATTTATCTCAACAACTCTGATTTATGGTGTTTTCGATTATGATTTACAGACATGGATGATACTCTATACCCCTTGAGTCTAGGTGTTAACTTAGCATGCCGCAACAATATTGAAGGTTTGATCCTCAAAAAATGTTGAAGTTTTCTTTGTTTTGCTTGTAAATATTAAAGGTGTAGGCAGGTTGACTTGTTTTGCTTGTAGAATTCATGCTACAATATCTTAATATTGAAGAAAGTGAAGTATCAAGGATGTGCTTGGAATTATACAGGGAATATGGAACAACAATGGCTGGTTTAAAGGTGATTGAGATTTCAGAGTTCATCTTGTCCTAACTCCCCTTAATTTATCTGAAAATTTGTTTAACAAATGTCAAATTTTCAGGCTCTTGGCTATGAATTCTACGACGACGAATTTCATGCGTACGTTCATGGAAGATTGCCATATGAAAAACTTAGGCCTGATCCTGTGTTAAGAAACCTGCTATCATCCCTGCCACATCGGAAAATAGTAAGTGAAAAGTTGATCCCTTTAGCCAAATCAAGGGAAGAAAACACAGACGCCATATTTTGGCTGTTCTAACATGTTTGTTGATGTTTTATTTATTTTTTTAGATTTTCACGAATGCTGATAAGGCGCATGCACAACAAGTTCTGAAAAGGTTGGGTTTAGAAGATTGTTTTGAAGGCATCATATGCTTTGAAACTCTTAACCCTCCCCTTGAACCAGCTGATATAACTGATGTCGGTAGCGTCTGTTCCAAGCCACCAATTCTCTGTAAACCCTCACCGGAAGCTTTTAAAGCCGCTATTCGGATTACAAATGTGGACCCGAAGAAAACGGTAGAAACTCGGATCCTTCCTGAATTTCAACACATTTTCCCCCTTCTACCCCATCAATATATTATCTATCTATTCCCTTTTCGTTTTCCTATCTCAGATTTTCTTCGATGATAGTGCTCGAAACATTGCAAGTGCAAAAGAGGCAGGGCTTCACACGGTTATTGTAAGCTATGATATCATTTCCAGTGGCATCACGTAGAATCCTGGATAACATACGCATGAATCATTGACATTCTTTGCTAACATGCTAGTATAACAATGGCAGGTCGGGAGGTCGGTCCTTGTGCCCGGGGCAGATTATGCCTTGAGTAGCATCCATAATATCAAAGAAGCAATACCGGAGATATGGGACGGTGAAGAGGAGCAGATGGAGCAAGTTATCCAATCTTCTGCAATGGAAACCGTGGTCCTGGCATAGATTTCGCTTCAAAGTGGAATATTACTGATTTTCAAGGGAAGCTGTGCTTGTCATATAATGTACACGGGGAATTGTTTCTATTAAGCTTATAATATGGACGACAAATATCTATATCCACATGTACTTACAATTTAAGAAATGCTATTGTTATGCATCTTTAAGATTCATGTATTAAACACAGATCTATGGGATAGAAATAATCAATGGGAAGGAGAGAATATCAAAATTACTATATAAAAAAAACCAGATGTTCCATTAAGAGCAGGGCTTCGAAAAACCCTGCAGGCTTGTATCGCCTTAAAACTGATGAGAACAACACTGTCATGGCAAGATCTTAGAGAGTATAAATCCAAAATTCTCTCAGAAATCACATATTATCAGATAAAGTCATCCTGCTGCAAAAAAAAAAAAGAAAAGGGCAATACTAAAATGTGCATTCCATGTTTTTGTGGTTACCTGCACAGGTTGTTAGCCTTCTATCCGCAGCTCCCCACAATTAACAATTCTGCATGGCAACTTTGGGCTATCCGACCTGCTTGTCTCGTGGGATTCTAGTTTGCGCACAACATCCATTCCATCAATAACATGTCCAAAAACGACATGTCGACTATCCGGTCATTAATGAAACTTTTTAGTTTCTTTTATTTCGAACTCCTTATTTGTTTTATGTTTCATTTTAGTCTCATATGTTTGTTATTATATTTATTGAGTATTTAGAATTTGGATTGTTGATTTTGTACATTATTTGATTTGGTCATTTGTATTTACCAGTATTAAAAAATGGTGTAATTTATGCTTTGAAGTCTTATGCTTAGTTCTGTATTCATTTTGGTCATTAACTTTGATATAGTGTTTAGAACTTTGGTTTTATTACCTGATTAATCCTTGATGTACTGCCTGTGTTAGGTTTTGATTCTTATAAATTATCTAACATGGTTTGTTGTTCCATTATTATATATATATATATATATATATATATATATATATATATATATATATATATAAAAGTATACTTATATGTATTCTGTATTATAGTTTCATTTACTTATATGTTTTTGCTCATGAATGTTTTGCATACAAAATAAATGTTTTCATATATTTTTATATTTTAAAATTGATGCGTTTTTGTTATTTATTTCTATGTGTATGTCATTAAATGTTCTACTATCATTCGATATCATATATGTATATGTATGTTTGATTAATTTTTCGCAACCCCTATATGTGTACAGATTTTGATATATGATATTATTTCATTGTATTCACATTAATTTAATTTATGAATTAATCTAATGTCATCATTTTATATACCTCCCATACTTGATTAAAATTTTAGTAGCTCACTCGAAGATTTTCGAGAACACTCAGTGTAGAATGAGCGTGGAAAGCACCGCTTGGTCGAAGTAGTGCGATCCAATACGACATTCGAACGAAATGTGAAATTGAAACAAATCGAGTTTTTTTAAAGCGCTAATTAATTCATTTTTTCAAATGATGCAATGCACGTTTCTTTAAATAGTAATTTATTTTATGCAAATGTTGATATTCAATTTATATACGATTTGCATTTTTTTGTAAATCAATGAGGGAATATTCTTTTTAGAAAAGAAATAGAAGATATAGTCTTCTTATCGGAAGATGAGCAAATCTCGATATTTCTTTTCGAATTAAATGATTTTTTTCTAATAAATAATTCGAAACAAATTGATTAAACTTTAATAAATGAATCATATTTTAACTTTATATTCGATTTATAATTTCCATCATTTGCGACAATATATAAGCGATTAAGTATCAATTTTGGGCGCTGTGGGGTGCTAATCATTTCCCACGCGTAATCGAATCTCGGGCTCGTTAAATCGGATTTTTGGTAAATGCATACCAACTTTTTTCTTTTAAATTATTTTTATGAATTGTTTAAAAGATGTTTTAGGTATTTAGGCTACCTAACCTAAACGTCGATGGCGACTTCAATTTAAAATTTTTAAATTAATTCAAAATCATCAATTTTTCAAATAAAATCGTAATTGTTTTTAAAAAAATAGTTATGACACGTTCGAAGCCAAAACACATCTCTGGAAAAAAAATTCTTATGCGAAGTCCGGCTGAACATCTCGTCTGGTTCTTCATGCCATTGCAGTGAACCAGGGTGGTTCCGAGTTTGCTTTGCGAATATGAACCAATCGACTCTTCAAGTGGCCATGCGAAGAATCAAGGATTTCGCTGAACGTTCGAGCTTTAATTACCAGCAAAATATGGGTGGGTTCAGCCGGAGATTACCCAGCAACTGGGTACGTAAACTATCATCAACAGATCATCGTGAAGAACAAGAGCGTTTACTAGGTGTTGCGTTTTCTCTTATAATCTTTAGTTTGATTTGTTAAAATTTATTATATGTCCGCTAGTAATAGTTTAAGTTCATCTCTTAGGATATAACGCAACAACTCTTTTGGAGGGTTTATAAGAAAAGGTTGCAGATTTGTGAAAGATGATTTATATATTTCCACGATTAAATCCTTTAGTGACTTCATTTTATTAACATATTGTCGCTTTCTCTAGTTTCCCTGTTTATTTTTTCATTTCTCTGGCACTGTTCTCAAGCATAACAGAGATGTGTGGGTTGGGGAAGATGAAGTAAAAGAAGAAACTGTTTTTTTAGGAGATTATTGCCCCAAAAAATAAATGTACACGTGTAAAACTATTATTGGTGGGCACAAATAGGGGCATACAAAGGGGGAAGAGGATTTATGTTCCATATAGTACATGGACTACTACATAATTTGATACACACACAACTCAAAACTTTTGTTCATTCATCTCACCCCTTCTCTTTTCTTACAGGCTCGCCTATATATAACTGCATCCAAAACCACACCCCATCAAGCTGAAATTGATGCCAAGCTAGTAAGCTCGGACCTTGGAGCCTCAACAGAGCTAGCTAACCATGGCCGACTCGAGCCATACGCCCCATCAAGGCCTAACCAAAGAAGAATTCACGGACCTAAAGCCTCTCATCGAAACATACCACAACTTCGCACCGATCCCCAACACATGCACTTCCCTCATAACGCAACGCATCGACGCCCCGGCACATGCTGTATGGTCATTGGTTCGAAGCTTCGAGAACCCTAAAAAATACAAACACTTCGTCAAGAGCTGCAACATGACCGCCGGCGCCGGCGGCGTGGGGAGCATAAGGGAAATCACCGTCGTCTCGGGTCTTCCGGCGTCGACGAGCACGGAGAGGCTTGAGATTTTGGACGACGAGAAGCAGATATTGAGCTTTAGGATTGTTGGTGGAGAGCATAGGTTGAGGAACTACAGGTCAGTGACGTCGGTGAATGAGTATCGGAAGGAAGGGAAAGCTTACACCATTGTTTTGGAGTCTTACGTTGTGGATATACCGGAAGGGAACACCGAGGAAGATACCAAAATGTTTGCGGATACAGTTGTGAAGTTGAATCTGCAGAAGCTTGGAGATGCAGCAATGGCTTCCCTTCATGGACATGATTAACATATTAATGGGGTTTGACTTTCAAACTGTGGGGATTAAAGGTTGATATGTATATCTTATCTTTGGATTGTGGGATATTATTTTAATCTCTCAAATGTTCATTCGAAGACAATCGAATTAAAATTTTAAATTCCATCAAAAATCAGCAGACGTGATGTAATTAATCAATATCAAATGCAGTAAAGGGCATATTTTTAAGCTTGTGCGGGTTCACTGAATTAAATTTGACAAGTAAATGAAATTTCAACAATCATTGCTAAATAGTCGGTGTATGATATGGTCGAGAGAGCAGAAAGTAGGTGAAAGATTTGTTGCACCACTTTTTCATAAGGCGGCAAGCAAATGTCAATCCTTCAATGAGCAAGCAAAAAGAAGCGGCCGAATTTTTGTGTTGATCCCTTTATTGTGCTTAAATTTATAATTTAGTTCTCAGACATAATTTAGTCATCGACGTACGACTACGGTACCATTAATAATTTTGGTTAAGATGCTAACATGTTTCTTTCACTTAAAAGTTAAAATCGCCTCTTCAGGGTCGGAGATACATCAACCATGGGAGGGGTCATGCCCTCAATCTTTATGATGATGTTAAATTAAAGAGACTAGGTCTTGAATTTAAATGTAGTAGAGGGACCGAAACTAAATTTGACCCGAAGAAAACTTTTTGTTCCCGCAAGGATGTTAGCAACTTCAAGGGCAGCATGTGAGTGACAGAGAAAGAGACCCATTAAGACTTCTTATTTGCAGCTCAAAGTCAAAAACTCATCTTTATCCTATAGCCACTTGATATTCTTAATATATAATATATCTATATCTATATACAATTATTATCTAATGCAAATCAATAAAAAATAGAAGTAATGTTTAAAACCAATTATTTTTAATGTATTTAAAAATATTAAAAATATATTTTACACCATTTTACATAAATGAGGTTGTCATGAATTCGTTTGTTATAGAAAGAAATCAAATGGTCGTATTTGTTTTAAATTAGCTCACTTCAAATGAATCTTCACAAAATTTGTTGTTTTTACAATTACATTGAACAATCAAAAACCAATCTCTCTCTGAAGTTATGGCAAACAAGATTTTCACAGTCGTCTACTAAAATGGCCAAGTTGTTGAAATTGAAGATGATGTTCATTTCATGTCATAGAGTCTCGTGAACATGATGATCCCGACAGATGTATCTCATGGACAATTGAAGATGAAAATTAAAAAAAATAGAGCTTTTGTTTCAAGTTTGAGATATCAACAGACTATGCTCAAATATGGAGATATCCTATTGATGATAATGATTATGTAGCTATTAGGGTTGGCCTTCATTAATATTTCAATAATAAAATTATTGAGATTATTGTCAAAATTGTAGATGTTCCTACTTCCTCAACTGTTGCACCGGTGACCGCAGAAGCATGACCATTAAAAGATGTAGATAACCTCGTCGAGCGATTCAATGAAATCCTTGTTGATTTTAACGAGGACGATGAAACTTATGTTCTACTTACGATGGAAGATAACACATTAATAATCGATGAATCTGATATCATTGAGGTTGCTCCAGAGGGACAAGTCTTTGATATAGAAGGTGATGTCTGGGAGGCAGTCGTTTCTCGTGGCCAAGCAATACAGAATGCTCCGCCAGTTTGGGTACATCCACCAACAACCATGCAAGCAGAAAGATGTATTAACAACAACGTTGGTTGTAATTAGAGGATACATTTCTTATACCTACAACGAAAGATGTTGTGGAAAGTCACAAAGTTCCACAACCAACACAGTTTCAATTTCAGCTCCTTGACACAAGGCCACGAGCACTTAGACTCCGATGTCATATATGTATTCGTGAAGCTACTGGTGGAGAAAAATCCAAGGATCTCGATAAAAATGATTGTGGCATCAATACAAAATACATTTGGTTATATTCTGTCTTATTACAAGTCTTGGATGGCCAAAAGCAAAGTTATGACACTACTGTACAGTGATTGGGATCAGTCGTACAATGAATTGCCACATTTGTTGCATGTAATGGAATATTTCATCTCAAAAACCATTGTTCGCTCCTACAATTATCCTGCAACCACATTTGATGGACAAGTTATCCCTAGGAAGAGAGTTTTCGGAGGCTTGTTATGGGCTTTCAAGTTATAAATTGAAAGCTTTTATTACTGCAAATAGATGGTTTAGGTGGATGACACTTTTCTGTACAACTTATACAAACATGTCCTTTTGATAGTTGTTGCACAAGATGGTGATAGAAACATCTTTCCTATTGTATTCACCAAGATGGGATTGATATAATCTCAGACCGTTCACCTGGGTTGTTGGCCACGATTGATAGACCGGGAAGTAAGTGGTCACCTCCGGTATTGCATACGTCATACTGCTTCAAATTCTATGACGAGGTTAAAGAATAAAAAGATAAAGAAATAGATTATCAGCATGTGTTACTTATTCAATTTTACCTTTCATTTTTTGGTCTTGGTCTTCGGTTAAAATTATTATACTTACACCTAACTATTTTTTCAGGCTACGCGTTACTACAACCAAGCTTTCATGTAAGACTGAAAAATTTAAGAAAACATGGAAAAGAGGTGTAGAACTTTGCAGCTGAGATACATAGGGAAAGATGGGCACATGTATATGACAATCAAGGTTGATGTTACGATCATATGACAACTAATCTTGTCGAGTGTATCAATTCAGTGCTAAAAGGGACTAGACATCTTCCAATGACAAGTATTGTTCAGGAGACATACTTCAAATTGAGTAAAGTTTGGGCAGACAAAGGTGCCTAGATAGAGGCAATGTTCAATGAAGGTAGAAATTGAGCTCTAGATCTGGAGAAAGCAATGACCAAAAATCAAACTCATGTAACATCAATGTAGGTTCGTAACTTCACCAGACTGTAATATGATTATATTGTCCAAGCACTTGTTCGACCATATGAGAGTGGGACTTTTGCCACATATTGGTAACCTGAATAGAAGATGGTGTGATTGTGGTCGATTTCAAGCCTTCAGATACCCATGCACTCATGCGTTTGCTGCATGTATACATGTGAATGTAAACCCATACATTTACGCTGATGATTGTTATAGCTTGCATACTATGCGCAACATACACAATTGCAAGTTTAAGTTTCTCCCGAACGATGCATATTGGTCATCTACTGTCTTTAAAGAATGGTTACCCAAACCGCAATTACGAAGGAAGTTGACGGGTCATCCTGAATCTAGTCGAATTCATACTGATATGATGAACCTCAAAGAGGGCAAGGTCTCCCGAAACTATGTGGCCACTGTAGATGAAAAAGCCATAATAGGAAGCACTATTCACATCTCCCAAGATATCGAGCAGGACGATAAATCCTTTGAAATCGTATTATCATGTTGTACCGATTTTATAAATATCAATGATAATTTTTCATTTTTTTACGTTTCATATATAATTGCAAACTATAACGTTAAACTAAAGTCAAATTCATAAATTTATTTAAAACAGTTTTTCAAAAAAATAAACATCTTTTCCTCTCAATTTTTACATTATTTTTCTTATTCTCATTCTTTTAGATAAGTCGTTTGTTGTGTCGGCTTGCTAACTCTTTAATCTTCTTCTTCTCCTTCTTCTTCTTCTCATTCTCCTTCTTCTTCTTATTCTTCTCCTCATCCTCCATTTTCAACTCCTTATGTTAATCAAGAATAGACTTTATTGATTCTTTCACACACTCATCATCTGAAGACAAGTTTAAATTCGAATCATTAATATCAGAGTAGTCAAACCAAAGATAATCTTCCGAAAATTTCTTGAATATTCTTTTCACAAGTGCATCTTTTGGTTCTCCTATAACTCTATAAACTAACTTAATTTCCATGCAGCAACCGTGTAAGTGCACGGGTATCTGAAGGTTTGAAATCAAGGTGACAGGTTTCAACGGCTCTTTTTAAATCTAAACGGATATAAATTTTAAACCTAAGAAACTCGTCACCTCAAGATGACGAGTTTCGTTGTATTTTTTTCTAGAATTAAAATTCACATAATAATCTGTAAAAAATATTTTTTTAATAAAATTTATCACCTCGATATGACGAGTTTCACATGAAATATTACAATATTAGGTGCGGACTATAAAAAATTATATCTCATGGGTGACGAGTTCCCTGTACTGTAAAAAAATATCATAGATCTAAAATTAATTTTTTAGATGCCCTGTTGGGCCAAATAATTCCGGCGTTGCCCCGGGCCAAAAAACCTTTTAAATCTGCCACCCATGGTTGGTGCCTGCCTGGGCTGGGGCTGGGGCTGGGGCTGGGGCTGGCGTTATTTGGTTGTATACGGTGGTAAAAGTGGCGAAAGAGAGAATTTTGTAACTTAAATCTGAAATTGGAGAAGGAAATCGTAAGACAAACTATTAAAATTTGAAATGCTGAAGAAGAATAACAAGAATTTCAGGAAAAGAAGCTTTCAAGAAGACGACGAAGATGATCCAGCCGCCAAATCAGACGATGAAGTAGACAGACGGTAGTCTCTCCCCCTCCCTTTTTTGTTTAAATAAATTAGGGTTTTTTTAAAAGAATAATTTTTGAATTTCAATGTAAAGGTTGGCGTTAGAGGAAGTGAAATTCCTGCAGAAACAGAGGGAGAGGAAATCAGGAATCCCTGCAATACCTGCTGTGCAAACCGGAGGCGCCGTCGTTAAAGTTACCGAAAAGGCCGATGCAGATGGAGAAAAGGAAGAGCTCGTGCTTCAGGACACCTTCGCTCAAGAAACCGCCTTCCTTGTTGAGGATCCAAACATGTAAGTTTTTTTCTTTTACACTTTGCATTCGTGTGTGTTTCTGGATTGTCTAATTGTTTATTGTTTATATATATTTTCTGCAATTGTTTTGTGAACTTAGGATGTGCAAACCGAGGCGCCGTCGTTAAAGTTACCGAAAGGCCGATGCAGATGGAGAAAAGGAAGAGCTCGTGCTTCAGGACACCTTCGCTCAAGAAACCGCCGTCCTTGTTGAGGATCCAAACATGTAAGTTTTTTTCTTTTACACTTTGCATTCGTGTGTGTTTCTGGATTGTCTAATTGTTTATTGTTTATATATATTTTCTGCAATTGTTTTGTGAACTTAGGATAAAATATGTAGAACAAGAGTTGGCTAAGAAAAGAGGAAGGAACATGAATGAGAAAAATGAAGTTGAGAATGATTTAGCTCGGGCTGAAGATGAATTGTACAAAATTCCCGAGCATCTTAAAGTAAGTCCTCTTATCATTTGCAAAACAATTTCCATTGTTGTTTTTATGAACTTTTTATGTTTGATGTTTCGTAGATTACAAGAACATCGCTTTTTGAGTTTCAATTTATTGCCTTTGACTTTGTTTCTCTCATTTGAACACTGCTTCTTGATTGTTTCGTTATTTTATGCAACTTCTTGGCTATTCCTTGCAGGTGAAGAAACGGAATTCTAAAGAAAGTTCTACGCAGTGGACTACTGGGATTGCCGAAGTTCAGCTGCCTATTGAGTATGACTTTTACTAATCTTTCATTTTAAGAACCTAAACTTCTTCTGGATCTCCAGTCATGGGATCCTTTTTTGTAGTTTTGTTCGGTATAGGGAAATTCTGGCTTTTAGAGCAGAGCTTGTTAGCTTTGTGCTGCTAAGCAAGCTTGATATAATGTCTTTAGACCAACTAAATGATGACAAAAGTGTGCCACCCTTTTTCTGTAATAGATGAATCTATGTTGTATTCTAAGGGCTTCTTTGATCGCAGATTCAAGTTAAGAAATATAGAGGAAACCGAGGCTGCCAAAAAGCTTCTACAGGAAAAGCGGCTCATGGGACGGGCAAAATCAGAAGTTAACATCCCATCAAGTTACAGTGCCGATTACTTCCAGAGGGGCAGAGATTACGCCGAAAAACTTAGAAGAGGTTGCTTACATTTTCTTTTCACGCTTTTGTAATTAGAGGTTATTGATTTTAGTTCATTTTGATTTTCTCTGCAAATTACTTGCTAGTTGGGATTAGTCTGTATTCATCCCTATATTATTATGTATTGCAATCTTTGTGTCCTTTTGTTCCGATTTTGCTTCTTCTTGAGGTACGTCATGTTCAACCGTTACCCCATCTCCTGCCTCTTAACTTGCAGAAAATCCCGAGCTGTACAAGGACAGAGGCTCAAAGGATGACAATGCTGGCCCCAAACAGACTGATGCGAGCAATGATGCAGCGGGAAGTAGGCAAGCTGCAACCGATCAGTTCATGCTAGAGCGCTTCCGGAAACGAGAACGTCAACGAGTAAAGCGGCGATAACATAGCAACTCTAGCAGCGTATCAGAGAACTTTCAGGTTCCATTTCATATGATTGGCTGCAATGCTACTTGTGAATGTTTGTACCATCGTAACTTTTCATGATGATTGAGATACTGCTCTTTTTGTAACTGGGTATTCTTAAATACTGTAAACATATTTGAAATGCTTTTGAATTTTTTTTTTGGTTACGGATAACAATGAATAAGTTTTTGAGTAGCCTGTTCGGTCTAGCGCATCCTTAAAGAACAATGAAAATTATGGGTTCTCCTTTCAATAATAGAATAGTTTTGTTCAATTCTATAAATAGTCCCTGCTGTATTCATAAGTTGTAGATTTAATTTTTTTACTTTAATTCGGTTTGTTTTATTTCTTATTGTTTAACTTTAAATTTTCAATTATGACTCAAATATTTCAAGGATAGTATGATTAGATTAGAGGGATATTATCTCTGGGGAAAAAAGTTTGAGGATTGCGTGCATGAAAATCCACTTAGAGGTATGGAGTTCTTTCTTATAAAGGTTATTTTAAATATGTACTTCTTTTATACGCCTTCCTCTTCTTCTCCTTCCTTTCTTCACTCTACCAAACGAAATAAAGAGTAAAATTTCAGCCTAAAATCCAGGCAAATCAAAGTGGATTCGGTCTCCATAAATCCTAAATTAAGTAACGTTTAAGCCTTTTAACATTCATACTCTTGACCTGTCTGAGATATGATTCACCCAACACATCATCACATTGTTTATACAACTCATTTTGTCCTACTTTGGTTATTCAATGTTGAAACACAGATGCGATTAATAAGCAAACTATTCAATGATTAATTCCATTGACAATTGGTTTTATTAATACAAATACAAAAGCTACTTTAAAAGTCCCAAGGTTTCCAAGTCTACAATAATAGTTCTATCATCAATAGAGCACATACCATGTTATTTTCACTCTTAAATGAAGAAATGCTATCAAAGGTCATAGAACTATAAGTAAAAGGTAAAAATACCAGTACCAAAGAACAAAATACAATTATCCAAAAAAAAAAGAACAAAATACAAAAACATAAATGAAGTATTTTTAATATTGGTAGCATACTTCAACCATCAGTACCATTACAATAGAGTAAACTAGTCACTAGCTGGGCTTCACTGTAAAACGCTAAGCCACAACCTAAGTGATGACACTATATAATACAGCTTGGAAGTAAGAGAAAAAGAGAGGGAGAGAGAGAGAATGTCAAAAAACAAAGTACATAAACAAATACGCATGTGAGAGACGGTATGGGGGATGTTCTAAATCTGAACATTGCTTTTGAAAGACTGCCCGAATTGCCAATTTGAAGGCACCACATTAAGTGCAGTTCGAGTCCTACCATTACTGGCTTGAACCCTGAAAGACAAGCTCTGGTCGTTTAGATAGCTTAAGCTCTGCCAATTGGCACCCCAGTTCCTCGACATGCTTTCCCATTTATTGGTTTTGGACCCCTTTATCCATACCTTGGAAATCTCACCAGCACCCCCAACATTTGATATCAGCACCAGCTCGAAATAGTTCCTTCCATTGATGGTGAATCTCATGCCTCCCTTTCTCCTGCATGTAACCCTGTCAAAACACAAACCAAATTATTCAGATTAGCAATGTTCAAACAGTGCTTAAAATTCATGTTTTTTTTTATGGCAGGATGAAAACAGTGGACATATACCTCCTGTAGAGGACTGGTACAATTCCAGCCCGGTATAAAGCTATGGTCTCAAATGCGGGTTGAGCCATGTCGAAATGCGGTCTTGGTGGATTACACCAACCGCCATTGTCGTTCGGGAGGGCATAGTTTGGAGGACAGAAGTTGGTGGCGGTGATGGTAATGTATTTACCCTTGAGACACCATTGGGGCACCTGTTTTGCATCGCAAGTTATCTGATAGCAGCCTCCACATGACTTGCCGTCGTTAAACAAAGCAGTGCTGAGTGCGGCCGTGTTTGTTCCATAACCATCTGTGTAGAGATTGCCATAACCACAAGCTCCACCTGCAAAAACCAACATGTTTATCAAAGTTATTCAAACAAAAAATAGAAAGGAAAAGAACCAAAAAACTAAAACTTACCCATTGTACCAGAAGCATCACTTCCACCATAGAATGTTGCATGTGCTGAGAGCCAAGTGTGAGCTGCATCTGCTACGTGAAATTTAGGGGGGAAATATAAACCCAAAATGAGTATGGCAGTAGTAAATAGAGAGGCACTCTGCATTTTGTTTTTGTTTTTGTGTTGGAGAATGTGAACTAAGGAGTTTGATGCCGCAGATGCATTTCATCTAGATATTTATAATCAGTGATAGACCCCCTGCTAGCTGATGAAAAATTATTGATGGAATATTTAAATATTAGGCTACCATTGCAAATTGAACGACTAAATTAAGGCATGCCATGATTCTTATTCCTTAAATGACAGCATAAACAACCGCAATTCATGATGTCATATGGGGATCCTATTTTTATTTTCAAACCCATGTGACAGTAGTTATAAATCTTGGTGCTGCAGTTGATGAGTTATATTTTATGCCTTTCTTCAATCTATAAGCATAAATGGTGAAGCAAAAGTTCCTGCAATTTATTCAATCTCAGGGTGAATATAAGATTGACAAGCTAATTAATATATCATTGATTTTATTTATTTTTTCAAACAACAGAAGTATTTATTGAAGAGAGATCATAACCCCAAATTCTCTTATGCTTAGTAGCAATAAGAAAAACAAAGAAAAGCAAATCCTACTCTAAATACTAATTCCATTAAATTTCTGGGATTGTATGTAAATTCAACGCATTATAGTATCCGTGGTACGTTATTGTACAGTTGAGCTGCAAATTGTCAGGCAGGCAATATAAAATTACAGGAGAACATTTAATAATTTGTATTGTAGAAACCTTAACTTGGAGTCAAATTCTTAATTTCCGCAATTATGACTTTTCAAACAACACATGGATAGGAAACCCTGCAACTGCAACTATAAAATCAAAGTCAACTCCCTTAAAAACCTATATTTTAATTCAGGGTTAGACAAGTTTCGCTAGCAGCAGTTGCATTACATGCAACCACCATGAATCTGCAGGTACGGATGCCTTAATTAAGAAGAAAAAGAATGAGAAAAAGAAGATGGTTGATAAGTAGAACCATATATCATGGCATATCTTAAGGGGCGTGCACCTAAAAACACATGGGTGATACCATCTTTCAATTAAACTTCCTTACCCAAGTAAACCAACCAATTGGTCACACATGATTTCATGTTCTTGTATTCCATTGGCATAATGGAAATTATATTTTATTTGTGCCTTTATATATATTTATATATTTATGGGAACGTAGCTTCAAGGGCAAGAAAATGTCTACTTCCTAAGATGGAAAAGACTAGGGGTGATTAATGAGTTGAGAAGCTTGTGAACAACTTAAATTCAACTCGGTCAAAACTTAGTAAAAACTTAACTCAAGGTCGACTCAAGCCTTAACGAGTTGAGTCAAGCAAAATCCAACTTTACTAGATAAGTTCGCAAGCAGGTCGTTAATTTTCTTATATAATTTTTTAGTAGTTATCTTAAAAAATTATTTAATACACTCAACAATCAAACCTTATTTATTATTTTAATGTATTTGTGGATTGTTACTTTGGAGTTTAGACTTTAAATTACTTCATACACTATTTTGATAAATTTTTTTGTTAAATTTATTGATTTATGTTTATATTAAGTTCCATATAGTATTAGTAGATTTTACCTATAGTTAAGAAACCAAAGTAAAAATTTTGGTGAGCTTAACGAATAACGAGGAGAGCAAGGAGCATCGATCTTTAACGAGCAACGAGTCGAGCAACAAGCTTTCTTAACGAGCACAAGTCGGGTAAAATTTTAACAAGCTTAACGAGTGAAGAGTCGAGTCGAGCAACAAAAATTTTTAACGAGCACAAGTCAAGCACTATCCAACTCGTGATTGACTCGTTGGATAAGCACCCCTAGAAAAGACCCATGAAAAAATGTACAATACTAACTTATCAAATACAATTTTGTTTGGTAAGAGTGTTCGGGTTTCTCTAAACTTTATGAGAACCTAGTCACCTTCCCCAATGGCATTAATCGAATAAGATGGCGGTGTTTTAGTTTTCACATTCTATGACAAGCAGTAGATGGAATTCAAAATGATGTCAAATGTGATAAACGTTGTTAATTAATGCCTAACCTTTCCATTCTAAAGAAGGTTAAAAAGACTGCGGAGCTGTTGACAGATTCTTTGATAATTAACCAAAGCAAAGAAAGTGTATGAATGTATGTAAAGAAGCAAACCCAAATTTCTTCCTTCTCAAACTCACAATTGTCTATAAACGACGGACTATTCAAATTCAAAATTTGTGTCGCCAGTCTAACGTTGCAACAATAATGTAGATAGAACTTTAGGGTCGATGCAAAATTCATCCACAAAGTGACCCAAAATAACAGATTAAAAGACTACGCTATGCGTGCAAATTATCATCATACGAATTTTTAAGAACCGAGTCTTATACATGCATTTCTTTATTTTATCGTGTCAAAATTTTGTTTAAGATATTTTTTTACATTTATGCAATTATTCATGTCATATACATTTTGACATATTTGTATAATCAAGTTGCATAGTGTATTATTTTTTCAGTCGTGTATGACAGTACCAAATATAATGAGTTAAAGAGGAAAATACTCAACAGAAAGAGTTAATTCAATGGTAAAAACTAATCAAGAAGCCTACCTTCTAAAGAATTTTTGTACGAAACAGGAAATTAAGGTCGGGATCCAAAATGCATATGCGCCATATTTTTCCTGTCAAAACAATTCAAAATGCTTGAAACCAACTGCTAACATTAACGAATCTCGTTTCATTGAACTAATTGGAATTGAAACTGAAATCGGAGATCATATGAAAGTTCACCTTTCAGGAATCAAAGAGAACTCTGAAGTAGAAAACGAGCATAACTCAACAGAGCACCACTAGCCTCGTCATATGTTGCATCTATCAACCTTAGTTCCTTGACATTTTCCAGCCATTTCTACATTTGTTCTCTATGGATCCTAGAATAAACAAAAATCCATGAAAACATTCAATACAAAACGTAATTCTCCTCCGTCTGTAGATATCTGAATTCATAATTAATAGTAACATCTTACATAAGCAGCCGCTCTTTAAATTCATTACTCGATTTC